CTGTACTTCTGAAACAAATAATGCAATATATGTTAAGGAAAAAAAAAAGAAGAAGAAGATAGCAGGAGGGGAAGAATGAAGGGGAGTAAGTCGGAGGGGGAGAAGGACCATTAGAGACAATGGACTCTGAAAAACAAACTGAGGGTTCTAGAGGGGAGGGGGGTGGGGGGATGGGTTAGCCTGGTGACGGGCATTAAAGACGGCACATTCTGCGTGGAGCACTGGGTGTTATGCACAATGAATCATGGAACACTACATCAAAAACTAATGATGTAATGTATGGTGATTAACATAACAATAAAAATTATTAAAAAAAAAAGAAATAAAAGCCTGGGCTTGCTAGCTCCATTTTCCAAAAAGAAGGAAGGAAGGGAGGAAGAAAGAAAGTTAGTTAGTTCACAGCAGCTCTATTTGTAATACCTGTAGCTGGGAATGATCGAAAATCTTGTCAACAGTATAACAGATGAATTGTGGGCCACACACAGTGGAGTGAAAAGGAAGGAATCATCTGCCCAGTACATGAGTCCATGCAGCATGATTCCACTTCTCTATAGTAAATAGGCAAAACTGTGCTGTTTGAAATCAGGATAGTGGTTATCTTTGGGGAGGCCATGTCTGGGTCCCGCCAGGGACTGATAGATAGTATTCTGTTTCTGACCTGAATACTAGCTACAAGTGCGTGTGGGCCATTTATGAAAATTCATTTCACCAAACACTTGAGTTGTGTACATTACGTATGTTATGCTCCCCTAAAAACTTACTAAAATTCACAGCAATAACAAAGAGATGTGCTTGGCAATTTGGCAATGTCACCAAATTCATAAATTCCACTTCTAGGAATTTATCTGCAATTAAACTCATGGAAAATTACAGATATGCTAGAGCCTTCCCTGGAGCATCGTTTAGAAAAGACTGGAAACAGCCTCAATGTTGGTCAGTGGAGAACTAGTTAAATCTTTATGGACTGAATTGAAATAGTCTTCAAAATATATTCTTGGGGCCCCTGGCTGGCTCAGTCAGACAGCATGAGACTCTTGATCTCGGGGTCGTGAGTTTGAGCCCCACGTTGGGTGTAGAAATTACTTAAATAAGTTTAAATATATATTCTTTATTATCTCAATAATAAAATAAATTATGAAAGTTAAAAATCAGAGCATTCTGATTCAAAAAACTGTTATGTGAAACAAGAAAGATAAAAAAAATATTGTTAGTCATCTGCTATCCTTTCTATTAAAAAGAAAAACAGTTTGTACATATTTGCCTAAATCTATTTAAATTTCTCCCTGGAAAGAAATACAGGCTGCCTGTGAGGAGGCGAACTTGGTGGAAGAAAGACTCATGTTTAGCATATAACATCTTGTACATTTAGAATTTTGTATTCTATGAGTATATTGCCAAAACTTAAAAACAAACAAAATGTGCAAAAGACCCCCCCCAAAAAAAAAAACCCAAAAAACAAAAAACCCTGGGGAGAGGCACTAAGGGTGAAAAGGTGTTGGACAGCTTTCTGTCATAAGCTGTTCTGTACAAGTAATTTGTTGATTATTTCGAATTTAAAAAATTTTTTTAAGATTTTATTTATTTATTTGACAGAGAGAGAACGCGCGAGCGAATGAGCAGAGGGAGGGGCAGAGGGAGAAGCGGACTCCCCGCTGAGCAGGGAGCCGGAGGCGGGGCTCGATCCCAGGACCCTGGGATCATGACCTGAGCCGAAGGCAGACGCTTAACGACTGAGTCACCCAGGCGCCCCTAAAAAATGCTTTTAACTAGAATTTAATGAAAATGTGAAAAGAGAAAAAAAGTGAAAATCGAAATGTTTTCAAACATGCAGCCCCCAGGGATCTACAAATTTATCCTACGCTTTCATAAACCAGGTCTCCACCTCTAGCCACTAGGCGGCAGTATATTACCATAATTATAAGCTTGGATTCAGACATCCGTGGATGCAAATTCCAACCCTATCGCAGATAACAATTATAAACTCTGCACAAAACAGAAAGCAGTCACATAAAGGCACTGGAAAGTGAAAAAAGCAGCCAGAAACTGGAGGGAAATTGACACTTGATAAAAAAGAAAGGGGTCGCTTGGGTGGTTCAGTGGTTGAGCGTCAGACTCTTGATTCAGCTCAGGCCATGATCTCAGGGTCTTGAGATCTAGGGGGCATCAGTTCCCCGCTGGGCGTGGAGTCTGTTTAAAAAAAGGGGGCAATGGGGGCAGGTTCTAGTCCGTGCTGGGAGGGGCAGTTAAAACTAAAACACCAGGGGAAAATCCAGTCTTCCTGGCTTGAAGCACCAGAGCAACAGGAAATCAAGGTATAAATCTGGAAAAGAGATCCAGGGTGGGGGCACTCCAAATATTTTTATATAAACTCTGCTCAAATATCTAGCTGACCCCTGAACCACACCTTCATGGGGTACACTCCAAAAAGCCCAGCTAAGCCTAAAAAAATGTAAACTGAAATTTGAGATACAAATTTTATAGAGTTTTACAGAGATTACAGTTGGAGTTTACCAAGTTAAAGGGCTGCTCAGGAAAAAAGTAACTGATGCTCTTCAGAGGAACATAACGGACTCCAGAGTTTTTACAGTATATCCAGGATACACTCTAACATTACTCAAAATTAAAAAAAACAAACAAATAGGAAAATATGACCCATTCTCAAGAGCAAAGGCCGTTAACTGAGACCAGCAGTTACCTGAGACCAACACCAAAATGACCCATATATTGGAATAAGACCAAAAAAAAAAATGTAGAAAATAGCTGTTAAAACTATGCTCAAGAACCTAAAAGGAAATGTTTCTACTGAATAAGAAGGAATCTTCGTATAGAAATAAAACAATAAAAAAGAATAGAATAGGGGCACCTGGGTAGCTTAGTTGGTTAAGCATTTGCCTTCAGCTCAGGTCATGATCCCAGGGTCCTGGGATCGAGCCCTGCATCGAGCTCTCTGCTCAGCAGGGAGTCTGCTTCTCCCTCTCCCTCTGCCGTTCCCCCTGCTTGTGCATGAGTGTACTCTCTCTCTCTGTCAAATAAATAAATAAAATCTTTTTAAAAAATAGAAATTCTAGAATGAATAAATGAATTTAGCAAGTTCCCAGGATACAAGGTTAATACACAAAAATAATGGTATTTTATAGTATAGAGGCAAGAAATTGGAACATGAAAGTTAAAAATAACTTCATTTACCATACCACAAAAACCAGAAAATACTTAGGGATAAGTTTGATAAAAGATTTAACACCTTTACTCTGACAACTACAAAACACTGCTGAGAGGCTGCCAACATTTGTATCTCCAGAGAAATACACTATGTTCATAGATTGGAAGATATAATATTGTTAAGATGCCAGTTCTCCCCACTTTGGTCTATAGGTTTGCAGTCTCACCCTGGGTTGTTTCCATCTCTTTTCCCAAGAAGGAAAACAAAAATAATCAAATATGGGGGATTTATTACTTGACTTATATTTTCTTTTCTATTTTAGTTGCTTATGATTTTTATTAACTAATAGGCTTTTTTTTAAATTTTTAATTTATTTGTCAGAGAGAGAGAGAATGCAAGCAGGGGAAACGGCAGGCAGAGGGAGCAGGCTCCCCACTGAGCAAAGAGCCCGATGTGGGGCTCCATCTCAGGACCCTGAGATCATGACCTGAGCCGAAGGCAGACACTTAACTGACTGAGCCACCCAGGCAACCCAAAAAGATTTTAAAGAGCAGTTTTGGGTCTACAGAAAATGAGAGAAAAGTACAGAGAGTTCCCATGTATACCCCCTTTACCCCACCTCCAGTTTCCCCTCTTATTAACATCTTGCTTTAGTGGGGTACTTTGTTATAATTGGTAAACCAACATTGATACTTTTTCTTTTTTTTTTCAGCGAGAGAGAGGGGGAGAGGTGGGGCAGGGAAAAGGGAGAGGGAGAGAATCTCAAGCAGGCTCCATGCCCAGCACAGAGCCCGACCTAGGGTTTGATCTCACAACCCTGAAATCATGACCTGAGCCAAAATCAAGAGTCACACACTTAACCCTGAGCCATCCAGGTGCCCCTTATTTATGAGAGAGAGAGAGAGAGAGAGAACGTGTGCATGCATGCACATGCAAATAGGAGAGGGGCAGAGGGAGAGTGAGAGACTCTCAAGCCAACTCCCCACTGAGCGTGGAGCCTGATGGAGGGCTCCATCTCACGACCCTGAGATCATGACCTGGGCAAAATCAAGAGTCGGATGAGTAACCAACTGAGCCATCCAGGTGCCCCTCTAGAGAAGATTTTAATAAGTACTTTAATACTTTAAACCTACTTTAATAAGTAGGTTTCGTGGGGCTGCCTATAATATCTTGTCCTTCTGCCCCTGCCCCAACTCAGCTGCAGAGAGACTCTGTTATAACCCAAGATGGCGCACATCTACTCCTCTCCTCAGGACCCTCCAAGAACTCCCGGCTCACTGAGAGTAAATTTTGTCCCCGTCTCTCTGGGTCTCTGCCTCTAGTGACCTTGTCCTACCACAGAGACCTGAGGACCTGTCCACAGACCCTGTATGACACGATCCCATTCACCTCCCCCCCCCCCCCCGCCCGCCCTGCCACTTGCTGACTCCATTCCAGCCCCCATTGGCTGGTCTTCACACACACACACACACACACACACACACACACACACACACACGGGACACACTCTGGGTTCAGGGCCCCTTCTCTTTCCGCCCTCCTGCTGGCTCTCCCACCAGGGCTCCCCAGGGCTGACTTCCTCCTCTGTTCACCAGTGCGGCCCCTCCCGGCCACTCAGCAGAGCATTGCCATCCTTTGCTATCCAGAGGGCAGACAGAGCCTTCTCTCTGGCTTGTTCACTGCTGGGTCCAGGCTGCTAGTTTTATTTTCTGCCTCCAGGAATGCCCTCAAAGCCTGCCAACACCCAGAGAGAGCCCCTTCTCCAAATGCCTGATCCAAGCCCAGCCACAGCCCCCAATTCCTCCCCCAGGCCCCTGTCACCCCCTAAGAGACACACAGGCAAGGCCCCAGCACTGAAATTTACTGCCACCCTGGCAGAGATGAGGCATTCTGGGGGCAGTGCCCGCAGGCGGGCGAGTCAGGGGCTGGTGGCGGGGTATTTCTCTGCTGTGTGGTGTGCGGCTCAGGTTGGGCACTGGGGTGGTCAGTGGAGGCTCGTGGAGGCGAGCTTGGTATGGGGGGCCCTGGTCTGGGCTGGACGATTCTGCCAGTGAGAAATGGATTGTTCACATACCCTTTGGGTCTGTGAGACCCCCGGGGCCAGGGTGGGAAGGGCTGGAAGGGACTGCAGTGTCTTGGAGAAGTTGACCTGGTGGGTCCCTGAGAGCTCAGGGTCAGAGGGGCACGGGGTGCGGGCATCCACACCCTGCAGGTCCAGATGGGGAGAGGGGCCTGACCATGGGGGGGGGCCCTCCTCGGGTCATCCCCTGGGGCGACAGGCTGTAGTGGGCACACGGGGGGCTCAGAGTTCGTCGTGGTGACGGGTCAGGTCCTCGCCGTAGTTGGTGGCCTGGCTACCCACGAACATGTTCCAGTTACTCAGGATCTCGGCCTTGCTCAAACGCCCATCCTGGAGGGAGGGTCAGAGGGCAGCAGGGGTGACAAGGGGCCCTGCCGGGGAGACTCCTCTCTGAACCTTGGTATGCCCCCCCCACCCCGGGGGTCTCTGTCCCTCCCTTTCCCCCACCCCCACCCTCCATCTCTGTGTCCCTGGCCCAACAAGGCCCCAGGGCGGCTCCAGGCCCTGTCCCCTCCCGTCTGCACAGCGGGCCTCCGGCAAGCACCTTGTCCGTGTCGCTCTCGTGGAGCAGGTGGTTGGCTTCCACCAGCGGCTGGTCCTGGGCGGGGGGCAGCACCCAGTGGCCCACCTCACTGCCGTCCAGCCGCCCGTCCTTGTTCAGATCGCGGAAGTCCCGGAACTGCTCCCGCTCCGTCTGCACCCAGGCCGGCTCCTCCTCCCCGGGCTCGGCAGAGTACAGATCCGCTGGGGCGGGCGACAGGGCAACGTCAGACGGTTCCGAGCCGGCGGGCACGCCAGGGCTCCATCCCGGCCCTGACGCCGCCCCCCCAGGCCACTGCACCTGCTCTCCCACCTCGGTCTCCTCCTCTTCTGTTGGAACGGGACTAAGAGCTACACCGGACTAACAGGTGATCACCCTGCTACAGGGAAAGGGACTTGATGGATTGATCATTTCCTCGATGGGCTGTCAACTCGTTTGCCTGAGACTCACGGGAAATGCTGTGTGCTCCACGGGCACAGGCCATGTGAGCAGATACTAAAAAGCCACGCTTAGGACAGCTCACTCCACTTTAAGAAGCTCCCTCGGGACGCCTGGGCGGCTCAGTCCGTTAAGCATCTGCCTTCGGCTCAGGTCATGATCCCAGGGTCTTGGGATGGAGCCCCGCATTGGGCTCCCTGCTCTGCGGGAAGCCTGCTCCTCCCTCTCCCTCTGCCCCTCCCCCTGCTTGTGCTCTCTCTCTCTCTCTCTCTCTCTCAAATAAATAAATACAATTTTTAAAAGAAAAAAGTGTAAAAGTCTTTTTATACCAAATGCAAAACCACGATAAATAGTACGGAATGCCTTCCTGCCCTCACCGACCAGACCAGGGAGCTGTTACAGGGAAGTCACCAAAGATGGAGTAGGCACTGGACACTCAGTCAGCCTTCTAGAACAGTGAGTGCAGAGCCTCTTTTTTTTTCCCCCTAATGGTCCTAAGTCATTATTTCTTACAGGAAATGATGGCAACAGTAGATGGGAGTTGTGTAGGTCTTTTTAAATTGTGGAGAAAAAATTAAAGATTAAATACATAGGTTTAAACATAAAAAAAATATGGGGCGCCTGGCTGGCTCAAGTCGTTAAGCGTCTGCCTTCGGCTCGGGTCATGATCCTGGGGTCCTGGAATCGAGCCCCAAATCAGGCTCCTTGCTCAGCAGGGAGCCTGCTTCTCCCTCCACCTGCCGCTCCCCCTGCTTGTGCTCTCTCTCAAACAAATAAATTAAATCTTTTTTAAAAAACATTAAAGAAAGATTTAAATAAATAAATAAGCTTTAAAAATTTTTTTTAAATTGTGGTAAAAAGCACATAACGTAAAGTCCACCATTAGTGGCATTTAATACATTCACAATGTTGTATGACAACCACATCAATCCAGAACATTTTCATCCTCCCAAAAGGAGACTCCTTTCCCATTAAGAAGCGACCTCCTATGCCCCCAGCCCCTCTCCAGCCCCGGGCAACCGGTAATCTAATTCCTGTCTCTGTGAATTTTCCTACCCTGAACATTTCCTGTAAACGGAGTCATACAATACTATGGTCCTTTGTGTCTGGCTTCTTTCACTTGGCATAGTGTTTATTTTTGTATTAAAGTGTAGCTGACACACAATGTTACATTAGTTTGGGGCGTCAGACATAGTGACTTCGCATAAGGTTTTGAAGATCTACCCACACTGTACCACGTATGAGTGCTTCCTCCCTTTTTATGGCTGAATAATATGGATCTGCCACCTTCTGTTTAGCAGTCATCCGCGGGGCATCTGTATTGACTAGATGTCATTGTATGAGCTGGATGCTCTATTACGGCCCCCCCTTTTTTAATTTTTATTTATTTATTTGTCAGAGAGAGAGAGAGAGAGCACAAGCAGGGGGAGCAGCAGAGGGAGAGAAGCAGGCTCTTCGCGGAGCAGGGAGCCCGATGCGGGGCTCGATCCCAGGACCTCGGGATCATGACCTGAGCCGAAGGCAGACACTTCACCAAGTGAGCCACCCAGGTGCCCCTCTACTACCACCTTTACAGGTAAGGAGGCCGAGAGAGATCGAGGAACTCATTTCCCGTCCCATGGCTGGGAGGTGGTAGGTGGGAAGCATGCACGCTCGCTCTGGAGCCTACACCCTTGAACTCGGTGCACCCCCACCTCTCCCACCTTCCCTGACACGCCACCCGCCCCCCCCAGCCGGGATCAGGGCCCGTGACACCCCCTCCATCCTCCTGGTTCATATTCTTCCCTATACCATTCAACAGTTGTGAAATTACATTGCTCTGCGGAGTCCTGGGGTCCTGCCCACATCTGTCTCCCCAGAACCCCACAGGGAAAGGAAGCAGCCTAGGGGGCAGGGTGAGACCCTAGGCTCAGCATGGACTGCCATCCTGCTCCACCTCAGCCAACTATCTACCCCTCAGGCCTCAGCTTCCTCATCTGTGAAATGGGGCAATAATACCCATCTTGTCAGTTGATATGTGGATTAAGCGAATTTACAAGTTGTTAACCACTTAGAACAGAGTCTAGCGTGTGGTAACAATGTGTCAGCTGCTGCAACTACTCAGTGGTGATGCTTGAATTCTGACCAAAAAAAAAAAAAAAAAAAGACTTCTATCTTCCTCACAGATGTAAGAGAGATAAATTATGCTTAAATAAAAATGTCTTGCCTGAGCATTTGTTCCATAAAAACATGCTATAGAAAAATGTTTTCAAACTCATAAAAATATCCATGTTTAACAGCTTTCCCCTCAACCAAATTCTTTGCCCCCTGAGGACAGGGGTAAAGGCAGGGCCAAGGGGAAATGTGGGGGTGTCACGAGGGCCCCCCAAATTCTGAGTAACAGGAGACACAGCCTTTACCGTGCAAATGCAGGATCAAGACAAGCTCCCTGACTTCCCACAAGCAACCACCGCCGCCCCTGAGGCCTGATTTTGTAGATACTCCAGACTCCTCCGGGTAGGAACCTAGTCTGTGACATTCCCTACTGTATCCTCAACCACAAACATGCAGTAGGCGCTCGGTACGTGTTTCCTGGTCCTGGCACACAGAGGGCACTTAATAAATGCTTTTTTGGTCTGGCACACAGAAGGTACTGGATAAGTGTTTCCTGGGCCTGGCACATAGTAGGTGCTTGATAAAGATTTGCTATGGCCAACAAATATACATACTCAATAAACGTTTGCTGCCCTATGACCCTCCCCCCCCTCATGCTCTCTATCTCACATTCTCTCTCTCAAATAAATAAAATATTTAAAAAAATAAAGTAAATAAATGCTTGCTGGGCCCAACACACAGTGGGTGATCGATAAATACATTTAGGGCCCAGCACACAGTAGGTGCTCAATTAATGTCTGGTGGCTACATGAACACAATCAGGTGCCCTGCCCCCACTTCAGAGGGCCGTTGCTCTCCTATGAGTGATATGCATTGGGCTGCTTGCCGTTGCTCTCCTATGGGTGATATG